TAAGTCTTCTGTTTTCAAAGGCAAAAGGGACTCTGCAAACAGAAACCAAGCAAACAGGCAAAAAATGCCTAGTATTAGCAAAGGGGACTAGAAGTTTGTCAAAGTAGCAAAATGGGTTTGTAAGGGAATGGATTATCACCCACCAAGAGAGTGCTTCAATGCTTTAGGTGAAAGGAGTTTTATTTCTGTTACGTGATTCAGTGAAACCACAGCTGCTATTGAAATACAGAGCAAGCTAGGGATGACAAAGACAAGGGGTAAAGAGAGAGGAACGAGTATAGGAAGAAAACCTCAGTAGCAGAGGCAGGCAGAAGACAGTCAGAAAGGATGTGAAAGCAACAGGGGAAGGAATATGGGAAGTCAGGTTGACAGAGGGTGTCTCTATTTCCAGTGGAGACTTATCTTTTCCCATTCACTTTCTCCCAAAGCCTAAGCTAAAAATGCAGAAAACCAAAATTTCTCAGGCTATGCAGAAAGGAAAGGCAGAGGATAATCCCACAGATGGCATATTTGTTTTGTGCAACTTAGTGTTCAGCACCACAAGGATTAATGCATTAAAAATACATAGACTCGAGAGAGATGGTTTCACAGGAGAAGGAAGTGCCTCGGGGTTCGCTTCCATTAAGTCAATGGGAATGTTGATATTTGCTTCAGTGAAAAGAGGACCAAGTCCTTATCTGACTGTCTTAAAATATTACAAAACAGCAGGCTCTAATCAGTGACTGAAGCCTCCAGGCTTGTCCTGAAGCTGCTTGTTCACCACCTCCTGTTATTTTTCGTGGAGGACTCTGAGGGTCAGGGCAAGGTCAGGGCAGAGTTTTTGCCAGGTCAGAGCAGGGTCCTTGCAAGGTGCATCCTTTCCTGGTGTCAGTTCTGGTACTTGGAGTGAATCACCTCATTTTCTCTTTCCTCTCTTACTTGGGTGCTCCACTACCACTCTGCTTCTCAAACCTGTGACACCACTGGGACTAGGTCAATGTCAGACAGACTTCCCAAGAACAACAGATGAAATACTGAGGACTGTGAGGGTTGATACAAGCCACCTGCCCAGCTCCCTTTTACATTTTTGTGTCTATCTCCAGCCCTGTTCCTTCCTTTTAGTGCCTGTTCTATTCAGATGCATTCACAATTTTGACTTCTTTCATGATATTTGGCTGTGACAGTGCTGCACACAGGTGCCACAAACCAATGCCTTCTCCTTAAATATAGTTCTCTAGCATCCCTTCAATACATGACCCTTTCATAAGCTTCAATGCTTGTTTTCAAACCCATTCCCCTTCCCCATCTTGCAGCATTACAGCTCCTTGGTCTAACTCAAAAACGCACATGTCCATCTCCTCCTAATAGATGTAAACCTAATGCTCTGAACCTCCCCTCCTGCCTCTGATCCTTCTCACAGTTTCTTACCCTGGCTACCCTCATGCCTTCTTTGCTCTGTGCTGATGAACATTTGCTCTCAAGGGGAAAGAAGACCTTAGTTACAGATGCATGAAACACCAGGGAAGTTTTGAAGAAGCAGCAAGCCAAACCTTCATCCCTGTCCAGAGGAAATGGGATGTCATCTCACTTTCTGAAATAAGAGAGGCAGCTTTTTTGAGGGCCCCAGATGGACTTACAGGTGTAAGAGCCTATCACACATTTTGCACTAGGAGTGGAACATTGCTGAAAAAGCTATTCTAATCCATCATCACCTGCATTTTCAAGTCTTGTTTTACTGGACGTATAAGCCCAAAGGGAACTGAGAACTAAGAGGAGGAACACCACGCATCATTTTCATGTTTCCAGCGTAGCTGACCCATGCTTACATATCTCCAGAGAAAAATGTGAGGACTCTCTCTATCCAAACACCAGTATCTATACCAGCCCAAGAGTGGGTTAACAAGCTGTCATGTAGACAACATCAATGCAGTGATTGGCTTGGTGTAGGATCGGTTCTTTCTTGACTGCAGGATAGGAGAGCATTATTACCTAGTATTTAGTTACAAGTACAGATACTACAAAACGCAAAGGAAGGAAAGGGTTAGTGAAATGGCCTATTTTATTTTTCAGTAGCACTCTTTAAACATCCCTAAGGATTTCTTACCTCCCATTAATATTTTACCTGAAAATGCTGATTGTAAGAAATTCAGCAGTGATACAGGAAAAAAAAAAAAGTAGACTGTTAAATACTTTTGCTGCAGTAAATCTCCAGGCACTTGAAAGCTGCTAGGACATGGGGAGGAGAAAGGGTGGATGAAACAGGGGCTGCATATTTTAATAGCATGGTTAAAAATCCTGTATCAGGACTCAGCAAATACAAGATATATAAATATAATTTTAAAAATGTTTTATGACTTCATTCTTGCAAGTTGTCCTTTTGTCTACTGTTCTTGTCTACGTGAAAACAAAAAAACTTCCTCGATTCCTGCAGAGCCCTGCTTTCTCTGCCCTCTTCTTTCCCTCTAAGCTTGTTGAATAAACTGCTCAGCTGAATAACTAGAGATATTCCCCTCCCCTTTTCTCCCAACCTAGCAGTCTTTCCCTCTCCAGCATTTTTTTCAGTGCTCTTTTTCATTCTCTCTGCTGACTCCATTTGCTTATGAAGATGAGGGGTCCAAAGCCACATAAGAACCAGACCTGCCCACATTCCTGCATTCAAGGCTGAGTGTTTGCTTTCGGGTTTTTTTTTTTTTTTCTTTCTTTTCATTGAAAAAGAGTATCCACCTAAAAGAAGTAGAAATGAATCTGAGCAGATAGAAACAAGTCTGAGCGGAGAACCTAAGACAGTTTTAGGGAAGCTTATGGAAATCTCTTAAATAGACGTCATAGATGTGGAAGGAAGCAGGTGGAGCTCATGGAGGTCTGGCCCCGAAATAACTGAGTTTGATAGCTCTTGTCTTAGCCAGAAATTGAGATATGTGCTTCGCTTGGCTGTTTGTTTGGGCCCATCTCTAAGGCTTCAGTTAGTTAAGTGAATGATGCCCTTCCAGAAATGAACAGCCATTTGCTTGTGGCATTGATGTAACTGAATGCACAGACAGAACCAGGGCCGGCAGTAAGTTAACCACAAAGCAGCAGGTAGAGGAAGACAGGGAATTAATTAGATTAATAAGACTGAGATCCTTCACTGTATATGCCAGCCATGTGATTTTTCTCAATGCCTGTTAACATGCCGAGGAAAGCAGCAACTACCTGGTTAGCACAGGGCAGGAAAAAAGGAGTAGCGCATTCAGTTTTGCGGGGCACAAATACTATATATTTCCTCTTTCTTTGTATAAGAGCAGTTGATGTCTGTCTAGCATTTTCCATTAGAGAATAAGAAAGCACTCAACAAGCTCTTCAGATGAGTTACCGTGCACAGAAAGTACTTGCCTGCTGTAGTAATTGGTTTGCTTATGTTTGTAATGAAAGTGAAGGGAAATACAATATTACCAAGCTACCAGTGTCCCCCAACTGTGGATAAATGGCAATCTCTGCTATGAAGGAAGTCCTTTGCTCCTGACTGAACGTTCCCATCACAGGGATGAAAGATTCCACTCTTCAAAGTATGCCACAGCATTGAAAGGCAGATACAAGGAGCCCATTTCCTTCTGGGAGCTGGAGAATGAAATTACTTAGGTGGGATGTAAATTATTTGAATTTGTTAGAACAATGGAGCCAACAGCCCAATACTGAGAAAAGCATCATGGGGTTTTAATGATCATGAACAGGCATCACCTCCATGGTGTACCTTAGATAAAAAAAACTTCAATATCCATGTTTAGCGAATTTGGTGTGACCCCTCCTACGCCTGATCAGAATTAATCCCCCAATCCAAGAAAATAAAAACGGACTAGAAATGCCCCCAAAAGGCTACCTTTCCAGTAGCAGCTGGTCCCTTTCCCTTGGTAGCACCCTCGAGCCTTTCCTCAAGTATGGCCTTCCGCACATCCTCTGATGTAGGACTAGATTAACAGCATCCAGCCCTGCTGCCTGGAGGTCCAAATGGCATGAAAGATTGTATTCATGTGCACGGCGCCCAACCCATGTTAATACTGCAACCTGCTCTAGTGGCTGGTTTAATGGGATATCTGTTCTACTAGCGCGCAACCCTACACCCTTCTCTGGCTCCTAACTCCAGTGTCGTGGAGGCTGTACTGTAGAGAGAACATAAATTCAGGACAATAAGGAAGTCGTTCTTGACCCTGCTAGGTCCCAGAAATAGATGCATAACAGCCTGCTTCCACAATGCATTCAGCATCTTCATTTCCAGGTACCTGTTGTGAGAAGGATCTGAAGGTGCTTAGAAGCTTGCAAGTACAAGCCACAAACCACACACGCAGATGGCAATACTCATGTCAGCCGTAGCTCATTTTTCAAATGCTGCTTCCCTTGGGCTCAGGTGCTTCAGGCTTAGTGACTGAAAGGTTAGCAAGAAAGAAATAAAATGCAAGAAAAAAGAGCCTAATGGCCAGTGTAGCAAGAGAGCTTAGCAAGGCTGCAAAGCAAAGCATCAATTGGTGACCACATCCAAACACCTCGTGTTTGTAACAGCAGCAGTAAGATGGGATTTGCCTGTATCCAGCATTATATTCACTGACGTTTCGGTGCGGAGTGGCCAACTGACTCCAAGTAATAGACTGAACTATTTCAGGCACATAGTACTGTGTCCTCCTGCCAGGTGAGACAGCAATGCTCCCCCCGCTCAGGAGAAAACTAGGACCTTTGCCCTAGGTGCTTTATCCTCCCAGCCTCTTTATTTCTGTAGGTGTCCCATCCTAAACACTCTTCCTCTTCCTGCTCATTGTCTTCATCCCCCACACACCCCCACGCACGTGGCTCTGGATCTCCTCATCATGTTCTTCTCGTTAAAAACCCCATTGTTCATTTGTTTGTTTGTTCTCTCTCTTTCTCTCCTCTTTTTCTCTCTTTCCCCTTTTTCTTTCTTTTCTTTCTTTCTTTCTTTTTTTGTCTCCTCTGTTTTGTGTACCCAGGCAGCCCATTGAGTAACTTCTTTGACGTAATTAAACAACTTTTTTCAGACGAGAAGAACGGGCAGGTGAGCCATCCCCCCGGCACGCCAACCAAGCATAGCGCAAACAGCAAGCGGAGCGATTCCGGTTCTAATGACTATGGGTCTAGAGGAGACAATAAGTACCCTGCTGGCAAAGACAAGGCAAAGATGGTCTCATCAGTCGGCCTACAAGACCAACCTTAAATAAACACATAAAAAAATTAAATAACTTAGAAAAAACAAAAACAAAAAAGCAAGAAAGAATGAAAGAATATTCCTTAGCAAGCTAGCCTCTAAACTAGAAGGATGTATATACCTTGCCACAACAGTACAAAACTGTCTATAGACAAATTTTGTATGAAGGAATGACTGTATATATATACATATATATATTTATATATGATATATAATATATATCTCAGAAACAAACACAAAAACAAACGAATGAAAGAATGAAAAGAAAAGAAAAGAAAGAAAAGAAAAGAAAAGGTAGCACAGATGACAAACCCAGTTCACCAGATCTTGGGTTGTGGTTTTTTCGATTGGTTTTTTTTCCTCCCTTTTTTTGAATGTTTTGCTTTTTTTCTCCTTCCTGATTTTTTGGGTTTTTTATTATTATTATTTTTTTGTTTTCTTTTGTTTTGTTTCTTGTTCTGTTCATGCTCTCTCTGTGTTTCTGACGACACCACTTGTTTCCGCTCTGCTACCAGGAATTATCCCGAAAAGTTAACATGTCAGCCACGGCTTCACCTTCTGTGCTCTGCGGACACTTGTTGACGGAAGGCAACCGATGTAGACTGTCCAAGGACCAGTCCTGTTTGAGGTTCCCAGCCTCCCCTCTCCCTTCAGGAAGTGGGTTTCTCCCCCACTTCTCCCCAAACACCTCCCCAGTGCACGCCTTTTTTCCCCGCCCCCCTCTCTTTTTCTTTTTTTGGTGCTCCACAAGAGAGATCTGCTCAGTTATGGGATTGCAGAGTCTGGGCTGAAAGGAGGTTGCAAATTGCTGGAGTGAAACCTTTACCTTTGGCAACTTCTGTCCGTGCAGGTGAACTCAGCCCGGAGGGGGAGGGTGCGGGGAAGGAGACAGGCGTAGCGGGAGCGCAGTGTTTCATGAATCCAGAGCGCGTTCTCATCAGAAACCAGCCAGGAGCAACTCAAAACTAAGCGTTGAACCAAGACAATATTGGGGAGCTTCATCACGAGATTTTCTTAACCTTCTTTTTCTCCCCACCACCTTTTTGTTTTCTTTTGCCCCCTTTTTTATATATACATGTATATATGTGTGTATATTTATATATAAATATACATACATACATACATATATATACAAAACAATTGGTTTTTTTATACTGTATCATTTTGCTTTTTGACCTGCTGGAAGGGGAAAGGAGTAAACTTAGGAGGGAGAGGGGGTTCAATGAATAAACACATACAAACAAAACATTAAAACTTAGGGAAAAGGCAACTTCTGGTAGCAAAGAAGAGGGACAAGATTCTGCCGAGGACTGTCTCTCCCGCCACCAGGCACAGTTGCCGCTGCTGCTACTGCTGCTCCTCCTTCGACACCTTCCTCCCCACCTGTCAACTCCCTGCCACTGTGCCACCGCGCTGGGACTTTCTTCGACCAGCTGGATCCTCCACCGCACCCTGCATTTAGAGGCAATTGTTGTGTTGCTAGTGCTGCATTGATATCAGTATTATTATTTCTTTAAGTTACCAGTTTCATTTGTTGGCTTGGGTGATTTTTTTCTAGAAAAAAAAAAAAAAAAGAAAAAAGAAAAAAAAAAGAAGATGAAGAGGAGGAAGAAAAGAGACTTATCTTGGGTTTTATTTCCTGTGTGTGTGTGTGTGCAAATTACTGGCACTTAGTTCATCAGAGCAAGACAAGGTGGAGTCAGGGCAATGGGAGACTTAATCACGAAGCTACTGTAAACTTTAAAAATTACTGCAAGATATTTTTATAAAGTTTTTGTTTTGTTTTGTTTTGTTTTTGAGGGGGAGGAGGGTGGGATTGGGTGGATGGGGACCTTTTTTTTCTTTTGTGTTTCAGTTATTAGGTCTCGGTTATTTATATATACATATATATATATTTAAAAAAATAAGCTGTTAGATATATCTTCTGTTTAATAACTGTGTAGAGGCAACATTGATTCTTATTTATTTTGGGGAGGAGGGGAAAAAAAGACACAGAAACCCCGTAAGTGTTCAGCTTGTGACTTTGAGAAAGAAGAATCGCTGCCTTTTTTCCTCCTCCTCAAGAGTTATGTGACCAAGTGTAACTTATTTTGGCCCAAGCTCAAAGGTTAAACAAACAAAAAAAAAAACGTGGTTTTACGCGTGGAAGACAAAACACAGTGAGAAGTACTTCTTGACTGAGATTTTAAGAATGTAGGCTTAGCATTAGTGTTCAGCTCTTTTATGACCTTCGATTGCTGCTCGTTGGGTTCCTATGGGTGTATGTTGTATCGCAAGATTATTTTTTTTTAATGATAATGTTGGATGAGTTCTTTTTTGTTGTTGTTGTCGTTGTTGTTTTTTTTAATCATTTTTCCCCTTCTTGGACCAGTTTTACTTGTACATAGGTTTGAAGATTAAAAAGAATTTTTAAAGACACAACTGGGGCAAAGACCTTTGACTTTTGCCCCGTTTCCCCATTCCCCCAAATGGGAGGGATTTATTTTATTTTTGTTTTGTTTTATTTATTTATTTATTTTCCCTATTCTTAAACTTTTCTCTCTCGTATTGCTGTGTGCATGTCAGACACCAGGGAGTGATGGTTGGGGAGGGGGGGAGGCAAGGGTGCAGGAGAGGGGGGCAGTTTTAATTGCATGACATTGCTGTAAATTAGTCTCTTTTGCTTTCGTTGTCTTTCCTGCCTCCACCCTCTCTCTACTTCTCCTCCAAGCTCCCCTCCCATCACCCCCGTCCTTCTTTTCCCTCTTTTCTCTTCCCTTGTGTATAGATTTTGATGCTTCTGTTACATTGTACCTCTACAAAAGGCTGGGATTTCAATACAAAATAATAATAATACTTTAAAAATACCTATATCAGCAAAACCCATGTGGTACAAGCAGGAAGGGGATTACTTACACAAGATATAAGAATAAATGAAAGCAATACCTCTTGTTATCCTTCCTATTTTGTACTTTGAAGACACACACACGCGCACACACACATATACAGACACAAACTGACATTATTTAATGGTTTAAAATGGACAAAAAAATCTGATGTATCCCTTGTTAAATAACTGTGAGCAACTTTAGTTCAAAAACCAATAAATTCATTCAGTAAAGATACTAGTTGTTGAGTGTCCTGTTTATGTCCACGAAAATGAACTTCTCGCCAGTGCCAGAGCCAGTAAGTACCGTATCACGGCTTTCCACACCAAAGGAGCTGAAGATGGCTGGCACGAAAGGCAGCATCCTCCCGGCCACAGAATTAACGCTGTCTCCTCGCAGCGCTGGCGTCTGTAGCGCTACACCCGACGCACTCCACCCTCATGGCACAGACGCGCCATGTACAGGCAAGGACAGCTCAACCCCGTAGGCCTGGTTTGCCACAGTTATCATGTTGAAAAAGATTAATCCGAATTACAAAGCGATCACACACCCCCCCTAGATCTGATCGGGATGGAAACCACTGCACCAAAACCTGTTGCGGCTTGTGATCCTCATCTCTAACCTGAGCTGCTTCCAGATTTAGCGTAAGGAAGGATTTCTCCACCCTCCCCGCCTGAAACACCCTCAATCACATATATTTGAAAAAGCTTATCAGGTATGTCCCTGGCTTGAATTGGGTTTGGGTTTGTGGGGTTTTTTTGCTGGTCGGTCAGTGGGTTTGCATGGCTGCTGGCCTGTCACATGCCTCGCCCAGCTTTTAGGTGTTCACCTCGACGCTGGATTTGTAACTTCTTCCAGATTACCGTGACAGCCTCCCAGTCCGCCTCTTGGGCTCGGAGCCGTGGCTGGTGCGTGCCCCGGCACCCGTGTGGGCCCTTCCCTGCACGGCAGGGGTAAAGGTGGCGGGCCCAAGCCCGGGGCAGTCCTGCCCTGCGGCGCCATCAACCCGTGCCTTCGGGCCCCCGGCCCTGCTCACCCGTGTCCCCTTCCAGACCCCGACAGAGCTGCCCCAAAACGGGCCGAGTCTC